AAGACTTACCAAAACCAAAATGGCTAAGCCAGCTTTGATTGAAAGAGAGGCTGCATGAGCCTCGTTTTGGAATTAGGATTCAGTCAAGTATACACTTAGTTTACACTTTGACCAATATTTGATTTTTCTGAGTCTAATTTACATCCAGTTTTCACTTTTAAAAAATTCAAAGTCAAGTTTACACCTAGTAAATCAGTGTTTACTTTCTGCTAGTAAATACCTATTTCAGGCCTGTCAACTGTCCCGCAATTTGCGTATTTGTCACGCATTTGCTGAAGAATTTGAAGTCACGCCAGTTTTTTTTGCGTGACAGAAAATGTCACGCAAATACGCATTTTACCTGGTAATTGTCACGCAAATATGTTTCTGTAAAAATTTTTTCAAAATATGTTTATGATACGGTCAAAATACGAACGTCGGAAAAAAACGAACGCAATTTGTTCGGATTTGTCACGCGAATCCCGTATATGTCACGCATGTTCATTGGAAATTTTCGTACCTACACCAAGGTCTGGTGTAAATTAAGTGTAAACTGAGTGTAAACTGGATGTAAACTTGAATTCATTTTTGTTTGGGATGGCATTGCTCATTTTGAAGTTCTCATGTTATAACACAGAGTTGCATACCCTTCTAATTGAAAACCCATGATTTATCTGGCGATTTTTAAAATATTTAATAAATTTATAACACGATGGCCAGCTTTTTTCAAATGGTTCATTACAGTGTCCATAGCTTACGCGAGTCCCTAGCCAAATTACTTGGCTAGAAGACATGGCATGTAGACCACCAAGCACTAGTGAAAACGTTTATTCTGGAGTAAAATTTTATTTTGATGTTAATCTAAAAATTGAAATGAGAATATTTCATCAATTAGAATTCAAATGGACACTGTCCTTTGTGAGATATTGCATGCTTTCGTCTAAACTAAAAATCACCTGATCTGCCATTCTTTAAAACGTTAAGATTGAACTTTATCTCGCTATAGCGAAAAACAAAATGGCCATTTTTACAGAAGAAAAAATTGCTTTAGAAAAGACTAAATTAAAGCCAATGTAGAAGGACATATGAATTAAGACTACATACTAAGTTCAATGAAGGTATGTCTACTACATTTTAGTTCATTAATAGCAACAGTCTATGAGAGCATGGGCTCTACCACCTCATACACTGATAGAGCCCATGATGAGAGATAGCGTAAAAAGCGCTAAAACAAACTGGGCTTGATGATAGCGTAAGGCCACACTGTGGCCGAAGAATAAGGTAATCCATAGCTTATTTACCAAACTAACAGGTAGAAATAGAAAGATGAAGATCTTGGCTATAAATAAGTGCAAGATCTGTCACGGGGAAGCAGGTACTACTTTTGGAATGTTGTCTCTGTATTCCTGCCTTGCATCTTTTCTTGGAGCTGTTATATGGTTTAACCTCCATGCCATGCATTCGTATTTTGAACCACAAATTCTGGATTGATTGAAAGCAATTTTCCTTGGTTACATGCGACAGATACTTGACCATAATACAGAAACACTTAACACCTACCATCAAATGTTTCCACATACATGTAACGTTTTGCGGTAAACATTCATTTATAGAATTTTTATAATAGTTAAATTTGGGTATTCTAATCGATTTCTGAAATTTATTTTGGCATCTGCCATTTGTGTCTGAAATTTAACTTTTGGTGAAATGTAATTGTTGTGATAAATTTATCAATAGCCTTTCCTTCAGTGTTGTCAATGTTGCTTCATCTATGAAAACAATTTATAACATGGTGACGGTTGTGCCAGGCATGATCTTGCAACAGATAGGGTCTCTAACTCTAATCAATATACATAATAAACATGTAATCTATATTAAAAGATGGCAGCGCAAGTATATAATTTCCAAACATGATCTTGATCTCTGGCTTTCAATTTGTTTTAGTTGGCAGTAAGCTGGACATACAAAACATCTATCATGCTATCAAGTTCTTGTTGATCCTATAATCTGAATGGGAATTATTGGCCTTTGCTGGGGATTTATGATCTATTTGCGGTGGGATTGAACCTTCTAAAGCTAGCTTGCAAAACACGATTGGGGATTACGATAGTGTAGGAGATAGCATCAGTGTTTGATTATAGTGCTGATAACAGAGATACCCAATTATTGTTTTTATTTGACACTTTTGTTTCATACCCCTCCCTTTTTGCAAATAAGATTAGTTTACATGCCAAAGAATTATTAATCAGTATATTGAGTCAGGGAGAGAATAGAATGAGGTTGGGATAAGGTTGATGCTTGAATTCTATACAGTGACTTCCCCAGCATTAAGCAAATGGGCACTTCACTCACTTGAGATTTTTAAAATGGCCTTACACATATCTGAAAACCTAATTGCACTAAACTTGAAATGAGAAAAATCATGAATATTTTTGGCAGAATTGGTGGTAAAATGCGAATTTTGTACTCATTTTAGAAAAAAATCTTGAGAAGAACACTACTACTGTACGTGTTCTGTTTCTAAATATTTTTTACCCCAAATTGATGCTTAATCTTTGCTGCTTGTTCATTGTCTAATATTGTGTTGCTAGGCAACCATATCACCTGTTCAACATATATTGCACTTGTAAAATATATTGTAATACAATGCATTATTCATTCAGGTGCATGTACTCTCCAGGGACTGCTTTAGATATGGAAATGAGATAATAGACTGTTTTATAGGAAAAGTAAAGGAATACAGACTTGATGTTGATGAAACCTAAGAGTTATAAATCACCAAGTCCAGGGGGTTCATGTTTTATCTATATCAGAGACAAGGCTGGTTCATTCACAAATTAGTAATTTTAAGGATCTGCAGGCCTGTCAACTGTCCCGCAATTTGCGTATTTGTCACGCATTTGCTGAAGAATTTGAAGTCACGCCAGTTTTTTTTGCGTGACAGAAAATGTCACGCAAAATACGCATTTTACCTGGTAATTGTCAAGCAAAAATATTTCTGTAGAAATTTTTTCGAAATATGTTTACGATACGGTAAAAATACGAACGCGGGAAAAAAACGAACGCAATTTGTTCGGATTTGTCACGCGAATCCCGTATGTGTCACGCATGTTCATTGGAAATTTTTCGTACCTACCCCCCCCCCCCCCGTTGACGCCAACGCGAGCGTAGCGAGCGCGAAAAATTTGAGGTGTTCAAAGTTTGGCAAAGGTGCTCAAACTTTGGCCAAAGGTGTTTAAAAGTTGGCCAAAGGTGTTCAAAATTTGGACAAAAGTGTTCAGATTTGGACTTAGGTGTCCAACATTTTGAAGTCACTCATATTAGGTGGTCCCAAGTTGACAGCCCTGGATCTGGTATGAGAATGTCTCCCCCGAATTATGATTTTTGAGATATGGTAATGGTCAGATTTTTACACTTTCTGGTATGGGAATGGTCAAGGAAAATATGTTACTCTCACCTGTGGTATGGCATTAGTCTAGTAGTTACACATATCCCTAATTTGAGGTTGTTTTGGATCATTTTCCTCAAAGATCTGCTTTCTTCTAGGGGGTTTAGAAATTTTGAATGGCCTTGGTCTCGTATCTGGATATTTGGTATGGCATTGGTCCTATATCTGGATATTTAGTATGGTATTGGCCTAGTATTTGGACATTTGGTATGACTTTAAGCCATTATTTGGTTGGTATGGGAACATATTGAAATTTGACAGATTGGTATGGGAACATATCAATATCTAAGGGTTTAGCCTAGGACCCCCCAACGAAATGAACCCCCAGATCATAAGTTACATTATAACATAAAGACATTTTTTGTTTTACAGAAAAAATTGATTCCATAAAGTGATGTATAGTGTTTACAATGGGGAGGAGGGAGTAATGTTACATCGACATTACTAGAGAAACTTACCATTTTCATCTAATATAGAAATCCCTATACACTGCAGACTGGCAATATTCTTAGTTCTGCTTGACATATTAATGGTCATATAAGGACATTTGCTCTCCTCACCAGGGAACTAATGAGAGATAAAGACTTGAAACGTGAAACCAAGATAGAGACTTCATCAAGACATCAATGTTACATGAATGTATTTAGTGTATATACACACATTTAATCAACTAATGTTTGGAGGGAGGTGGGGGGGTGATTATATGTTTATTTTGCTTGGAAACAACTACACTTTTTAAATTTGAAAAAGCAATGTTCTCTTCTGTTACACTTTCTGGGGGAGGGGGGAGACAGTCTGAAATGTATTTCTTATGTTCTGGGACAAAATCAAATATTGACTTGTTGATTTGATTTGAATATTTATTCTGGGTAGCTGAATGTGTTGAATGTTTTATTTACAGTATTGCCTATATATATTGAGAAATCAACAGAACAACCAACTGTCACAATTAAGCTTTTTAAGCAATTTGAGCTTTTTGTCATCGAAGGTATTTTTCATCACTTACAACGTGACTTGAACCCAGATTCAGAGTGTTTTTTTTAAATTTCTTTTCGAATTTCCTACCATCAAATTAAGTATTCATTTCTGCATACAATCATGAAATTGTCACTGTAAGTGTAGGTCGTAGGAGTCAGTATCTGACAGAGGAGATGGATGTTCCTGTTTTTTATCTCTTAATGCAAAAATATCAAGAGGGTATTCTTACTGTACTCCTATCAGACACTGACTCTTTAAGTGGTTTAGTGTTTGGTGTCTTTGATCATATATGATGTATGAAACGCCATAAGATAATTGATTTTGATGACATAATGGAATTAAATCTTACAGGTTGTAAGAAGGCCCTTTAATTTGTTAACTAGATCAATTTGTGGCTGAAGTTTTCACTTTACTCATTAAGTACCAGACAGTGTATGTAACATAATTAGCCTTGTATTGCCTAATGTTTGGTGTAGAAATTAAGCTATATTGATGAGCTAAATTAGACTCAATTAGCAATCTGACTCACCTAGGCCATCTAGTTCACAGATCATCATATAGATGGCTATACAGTAAGCTGCGAATATTTATATGACAGCTTGATTCAAACATGTTCAATTTAGCAGACGCTCTCAAGCATTGAACACGCTATTCAAATATTTCTGATAAACATTTCACTAAAAGCATATTTATGACTATTGCTAAGTATATGAGAGTATGTTATCCTGTTCGTGTGAGACTTAGAGGTGTCTGAATTTAACACTAGACAAATTTGGATATTAACTATAAAACTTTGGACAAAATGTATAGGAAATTAAAAATATTTTGGACAAGTTTATGGATTTACATCTTAACATGGCACCTGAGTGTAGCAGGTAAGATTATTTACACACATGTCTGTGGTTTATGTAGAAACATTGATTTTGTATTTGATCAGCCGATTTGTGCATGTATGTGTATTAATGATATTTAACCATACAAGATCGAATGGTTAATATTTTATTGTGTCCAACATGTCATTAAACATAAAAACAGTTTTGCAGATTTAAAAGCTTAGTTGAAAAATATTGAGAAGCATGTACTGAAATTCTTTTCAAAATAACAATTAGGAATTTAATCCCAATGAACCGCTATTCAATATGTCTTAGAATGGCAGAAGATTACATTAGGCATTAAATTTCTTCATGGAATCATATGGTTAGACTTAAGATAAACTTCTTGAAATTCGATTTCAGAATAAACATCCTAGATGTTATGTTCAGGACAGGAAAACAGTGAAATGCCAATTTGTTTGTACTTCATTAACCAAAATGAGTATACCATAAACTTTGAGAATGAATTTTTGGATAAGATATCAGGATTCAGATCAAATTTTAGCCCCATGCAACTTTATAAACATGCAACTCAGCAGTAACATGAAGATTGATCTATCCTGTATGTTCACCTTCACTCATGTATTGTTTTTTCTGAAAATAACACATTCCCATCAAATAAATAGCTCATTGCTAGGTCCAGGTCGGTAATATCTTATGCAGAAATGTTCTTAATTTCTACATAATTTCCTGCACAATATGTTTTCAATTTCCTTCAGGTTTTCGGAATTAGCAAATTGGAAAAATCTTTGAACCACGCTCATTTTATATTTGAGTCAGTAGAATCTCCCCTCTTAATCCCTAAACTGAAGAATTGGCAGTGCAGCAGGTCGTGGAATTGAAAAGGGGAGGGGGGAATAAACTTTATTTTAAATGTTTTCCTTTCTTCTTTTCAAAATTTGGGTCCAGTTTTTGAAAAAACTATTAATAGGCTAATTTATTTTTGTGTAAGTGGGAGGGGGGTCAGTAGTAGACTCATATAAGCTAGCTTACTATTAATGGTGAGCTTTACAGATTTGGTTTTTACAAATTTCAATGATCTTAAAAGTAGCTTTTGTGTCCTCTCTGGTATTTGCATGTGAAGTAAATGCTCATAGGCAGATTGCGGAATATATTTAGCCTATCTAATTCAAAGAGTGCCAATGTAGTCAAGCTCTTACAAAGGGTAATGGAAAATCATATCCAGCTGTCAAGTACCAGGAGTACTGTACAAAATAAAACTGAATTTTCCACCAAGTTAGTGTCCATTTTCCGATGCCTAATAAACCATCAAATGTAAATAAACTTGATTTAATTATGGTTAAAATCCCATTAGAATGTCCTGTATGATAGTGTACTGATGAAAAAGGCAATTAATCGTGAAAAATTTGGATCAAGTTGAAATGTTTTCTCTCTAATGATTCATCAATTAATTCCATTTGCTTTTAGGACAATCAGTAATTCACCATATGTCTAGAATCTCAATTTTGGCATCTAATGGCAGGCTATTATAATTCTCTAACAAACACCAATTTTTATGGTTAACAGGGGTTGCTTTTGAATAACGCAAATGCGCATCTAGTCTATTACCTGATAGGAATACAGTAGAAGTAAAATAGTTGATTAACATCTCATACTCCTTTACCAGTTTGATTTTCAAAACTTAATTTCTTTGTAATTTAAGATGATGGGAATAATGAAGTCACATACTACATATATCAAACCTACTGGTATATAAGATTGGACCACTATTTAATTTAATATGGTTTATACTGATTTTTATGTCTGATTTTCTATCTCTTAAAAGGCACTTCAAATATTTTCAAGTACTAAGCTATATTTATAACTTCAATCAGGAATATCCTTAGAAGTTTTATATTACATATAAGTATTATCACACATGAGTTCAATATATCTTACATCTGATATATCTTGGATAAAATTCTATGCCAAATTATTAGGTAAAATTGTTCAATTTATAATTGAAATTCAAAATGTTTGGCAGTCCTTATGTTGCGGTCACTTTGACTAGACATTTAATCCTTACAGCAATGTCAGACGGTTCGACTAGTTAAGATGCTCATGAGCATGACATCACTAAAACCATACGTCATGTATATCAACAAAGTTTACATCAGTTTTGAACAAAAATTGTTTGTTTTGCTTCTAAAATTTAAACTTGAGAGTATTAACATTGCACATGTAACAGCTTTGTCTTTATCAAGACATTGTACTCACCTTCCCACCTATTACATATATACATCGTTAGAAGAACGGGATAAAAGAACTCAAAAGATGAAATCTAATTCCTTTCATTCCTTATTCTAAATTAGTAAATTAAATGCCAATGATGAAAAAGTTATTTTCAATGAAGGCAGGGGCTGTATAAAATAACTAAGCATAGGCGTACTCTACATCAGCATTTTCCATATAACATGATAAAGATCTTAATAATGAACATGTAGTTCAGTTCATGAAATAACCAGCCCTCCATTTTATTCTATTATTCAGTCATTACCCTCTGTATATAGACATTAAGCAAGCCTCTAAAGAACAGTACTACATTATTGTCCTTGGACTGTGCTTGATTGTTGTCAAATATTGACAGGCATCAAGAGTTGTTTATAGCCAACATTGCTTGATAACAAATAGTTGTAATTTGGGAGCTGAATATTAGATTATAGTTTTATTGCCTTGATTGCTCTTGGAATTATCTAAAGTGTTTTTGTCTAGTCAGTGAGACTGGGCTTATATATGTTTCATGCTTGGTGTTTTCATTACTTCGCTCTTTTTACATTGATTTCGCTACTAAGTGGTATTGATGTGCATTGTATTATCCTGATTATTTCTATGTGCCTTTGATTCCTCTTTATAGTATACTCTTAGAGTTTGAATGAGAATGTTGATGTAATTTAATATGCTTTTTAAATCAATGTTTCCTGTTGCCAGTTTCACATTAATTATATAATGAGAGTGTTTTATTTCATGTTTACTTGTCTCCAATCTTTCCCTTTGTATTTTCAAATTTCAACGGACACATTTTAAAATATATCCTGTCTATGTGGATATCAGTTTGAATGTACAAAGTAAAGGTTCATTGATTGATGGCACTTAGGTATTTTGCTTAAAAAAATCATTTTTATTATTTTACCATCAAGAATGTTACAACCAAAAAGCGATGATATCTTAAAATCACATAGTGATCTTGAATAACCTCCTTTTGTGACTGATATTCAGCATCATATGTCTGAAAAAGTATTATTATACAGTAAAACCTGTTTAAGTTGAACACCTTTGGAACCTCTAAAAGGTGTTCCACTTGGGAGGTGTTCCCCTTATAGAGGTTCAATAAGTCAGTTAATCTTTGGACGGCATGAACTTGGTGTAAGACCACACGAAATTTTTTTAGATACATAAATAAGTACATGTATATGCATATACACAAACATATATAAAGGAGGGACTGGAGACCGATATAAATATATATATAGCTACTGGGGACTGGGGACTGGGGACCAGAGGAGACAAATATATAAATAAATACATGTAAATGCATATGCACAAACATATATAAAGGAGGGACTGGAGACAGATATAAATATATATATAGCTACTGGGGACTGGGGACTGGGGACCAGAGGAGACAAATATATAAATAAATACATGTAAATGCATATGCACAAACATATATAAAGGAGGGACTGGAGACCGATATAAATATATATATAACTACTGGGGACTGGGGACTGGGGACCAGAGGAGACAAATATATAAATAAATACATGCATATACACATTTACAAGAATATAATACATAACTATATATAACATATACTTTTATATTATATTATATATATAATACGCCATTTGAAATTTAGTGTATTATATGTATAATATAAAAGTATATATTATATATATAGTTATAATATTATTAAATGGTGTATTATATATATATTATATAATATAAAAGTATATGTTATATATAGTTATGTATTATATTCTTGTAAATGTGTATATGCATGTATTTATTTATATATTTGTCTCCTCTGGTCCCCAGTCCCCAGTCCCCAGTAGTTATATATATATATATTTATATCTGTCTCCAGTCCCTCCTGTATATATGTTTGTGCATATGCATTTACATGTATTTATTTATATATTTGTCTCCTCTGGTCCCCAGTCCCCAGTCCCCAGTAGCTATATATATATTTATATCGGTCTCCAGTCCCTCCTTTATATATGTTTGTGTATATGCATATACATGTACTTATTTATGTATCTGTCTCCTCTGGTCCCCAGTCCCCAGTCCCCAGTCCCCAGTACCTATATATATATTTATATCGGTCTCCAGTCCCTCCTTTATATATGTTTGTGTATATGCATATACATGTACTTATTTATGTATCTGTCTCCTCTGGTCCCCAGTCCCCAGTCCCCAGTACCTATATATATATTTATATCGGTCTCCAGTCCCTCCTTTATATATGTTTGTGTATATGCATATGCATGCATCTATTTATATATTTGTCTCCTCTGGTCCCCAGTCCCCAGTCCCCAGTTACTATATATATAGGAGAGGTTTTTTGAAAAACAATTTTGACTTTAAAGCCCTATAACTTTGTTAAACTTTAAGAAACATATCAATTTTTGTTAAATAAAGTTATCAAATTCAATTGCCTGCCTAACTCGTATTTTTGCAAGGACTCAGATGGATGGATATTCTGTCATATGACTTGAGGCAAACCTACCATTTCCCATTGATTAACATGGGAATGTCGATTTTAAAAAATGCATCAAATTTATCATCGATTTTTGACTTATTGTAATTGAGGAAAAAATTGAGAAAATTTGGTAATCATGGGGGGCTTTAAAGTCAAAATTGTTTTTCAAAAAAACCTCTCCTATATATATAGTAACTGGGGACTGGGGACTGGGAACCAGAGGAGACTAATATATAAATAGATGCATGCATATGCATATACACAAACATATATAAAGGAGGGACTGGAGACCGATATAAATATA